CCCAAAAACAAGAAGGAACTGAAGACAGTTGCAGTAGAGGCCTGGCAAAGCATCACCAGGGATGAAACCCAGCGTGTGGTGATGTCTATGCGTTCCAACTTCAGGCTGTAATTGACCGCAAAGGATTTGCAACCAAGTATTAAAAAGTGAAAGTTTGATTGATGATTATTATTCTGTCCCATTACTTTTGGTCCCTTAATAAGTGGGAGGCACATATGCAACCTGTTGTAATTCCTACATCGTTCACCTGATTTGGATGTAAATACCCTCAAATTAAAGCTGACAGTCTGCAGTTAAAGCACATCTTGTTCGTTTCATTTCAAATCCATTGTGGTGGTGTATAGAGCCAAAAATGTTAGAATTGTGTCGATGTCCCAATATTTATGGACCTGACTGTATATATATGTATATACATTTGTGTTCAAAATAATAGCAGTCAGACATCACTAACCTGATCAATCACTGTTTTTGGTAGAAATTATATTTCTACATGGCAAATAATTTACTAGCAGGTGTAGTAGAGTAATAGAAATCCAACAGATCCAACAGTCATGACATGCATGCTGCTGATTCTGTGTAATTGAATCACTAATTGAAAGGGGCATGTTCAAAATAATAGCAGTGTGGACCTCTATTATTGAGGTCATTGATTCTTTGAAAAAACTGGTGGTAATTATTGCCCTTATTTAAGGAAGGAAGGCAGCAAATGTTGTACATGCTAGTTACAGTGCATTTCTCTCTGAAATTCTGAGGAAAATGGGTCATTCCAGACATTGTTCAGAAGAACAGCGTACCTTGATTAAAAAGTTAATTGGAGAGGGGAAAACATATAAAGAAGTGCAGAAAATGATAGGCTGCTCAGCTAAAATGATCGCAAATGCTTTAAAATGGCAACCAAAACCTGAAAGACGTGGAAGAAAGCAAAAAACTACCATTCAAATGGATAGAAAAATAGCCAAAATGGCAAGGACTCAGCCAACAATCAGCTCCAGGAAGATCAAAGAAGGTCTAAAGTTACCTGTGAGTACTGTTACAATTAGAAGACACCTATGTGAAGCCAAGCTATCTGCAAGAAGCCCCCGCAAAGTCCCACTGTTGACAAAAAGACAAAATGTGCTGGAGAGGTTACAATTTGCCAAAGAGCACATTGACTGGCCTAAAGAGAAATGGCGCAACATTTTGTTGACTTATGAAAGTAATATTGTTCTTTTTGGTCTAGTGGCTGGAGACAGTTTGTCAGACGACCCCCAAACACTGAATTCAAGCCACAGTACACTGTGAAGACAGTGAAGCATGGTTGCGCAAGCATCACGATATGGGGATGTTTCTCATACTACGGTATTGGGCCTATTTATCGCATACCAGGGATCATGGATCAGTTTGAATACATCAGAATACTTGAAGAGTTCATGCTGCATTATGCTGAAGAGGAAATGCCCTTGAAATGGGTGTTCCAAGACAACGACCCCAAACACACCAGTAAACGTGCAACATCTTGGTTCCAGACCAACAAGATTGACATTATGGAGTGGCCAGCCCAATCCCCGGATCTTAATCCAATAGAAAACTTGTGGGGTGACATCAAAAATGCAGTTTCTGAGGCAAAACCAAGAAATAGAGAAGAACTGTGGAATGTAGTCCAATCATCCTGGGCTGGAATACCTGTTCACAGATGCCAGAAGATGGTTAACTCCATGCAACACAGATGTACAGCAGTTCTCAGAAACAGTGCTTAAAAAACTAAATATTAATTAAGTGATTCAAAGGAAAGCAAAATCTTCAAACATTTTTCAGTTTATATAGTGAATGTTTGAGTTTGTAAAGAAGCATACAAGCACTGCTAATTTTTTGAACAGACTAATATTCACTTTTCTTCAATTTTTTTAGACGAACAACACAAATTTGATATATTTTTCTTCATGTTTTGATTTGGAATAGAATGTGTAGTGTTCCCAATACATGTGTGTATGGAAATAAAAGCTATTAGAAGGATTTTGAGCTTTATTCACTTTATTCAACACACTGCTATTATTTTGAACACAACTGTATGTATGTATATTCCGTATGCTGAGGAATCAAGCTAAAGAGTCAGTATGGATACCTTTTTGAATGACACGAATTGCTAGTGTGATAGTGTGAGGGAGGCCAAAAGCTATATGGAGTAAACTTTAGGCAACACATGCCCCTATAAGTCTGTTACTACCATCATTGTTACCCCCTCTGGACCACATTGTGTTGTTTTTGGATCTCCGTGCTTGATTACAGCCATCTTATTCAATTGTGTCTATGTATGGAATCTAGGATGCAAATACAATTAAACAGCCCCTAAACAGGACAGATTTAATCAGGCCTGTTATTCAACTGGAGTGTACCTGTTGAGGAAAATCTATGCACAAAAGTCTATGTACATATCTTTGATAACCAGATACTGTTTATGGTGGACTTTGAAACAATTATCCAGCATGCTTGAAAATATCAGTACTAAGAAAATAAAAAGTGCAGCGCTTAAAAAATATAATAAAATAAATAATGTCTCATATAAATATTAATGATCAATAAATATAATCAATATATAAATAGTCCATAGGTGACAATCCGTGCACATATATTGTAAACTGTAGCGATACTTCAGTGCCAGTGCTCTTTAACAGTGAGGTAAGAATACGCATTCACCAGATGCGTAATGGTATTTCCACTTTGGTGGAAAATGAACTATGGGCAAAGCCTGCACTGCGATAAAGTCACGTGGAGTTTTTATCACTGTGCTTTTCACTTTGCTACATGGATCCCACAGCATACATATACAGTACAGTAGCTGTGTTGAGTACCTGACGATCCTAAACACGAATCTAATCCTGACGTACCACATACCACCCAGAGGGAGGTTAGTCCTTGACCTGGCTCAATCCATTTCCTTAAATGGGACCTTTGTTTGATTCATTTAATGCATAATACCATTACGTATCTGGTGAGTGCGTATTCTTACCTCACTGTTACAGAGCACCAGCAATGAAGTATTTTCTTAATATTGAGATTTTTATTTTGGTTACGTTTTAGTGCTATAGCTGCTTTTATAAGAGTGCTCACTTTTTACTCCATACCATATTACGCTTGAAAATATATATTCTTTGTGGCCACCTTTCTAATTTCTATCTATCACTGTCCCTGTTTTCCTGAGAGCTCTCAGTAGGAAATTACAATAAATGTTTTTTAATTTAAAATATGATATATCAATCCTATAGGTCCCTGAACATGATTGTTTAAGGGTTTTAGTGGGGTTTGTTTTGTTTGGAGTGTGTGTTTTTTTTTGTCATTTAAATTAATAAATTAAGTATTTTGTATGCTAATGATATCTGTCTGTTTTCTTACTCCCATACAATGGTTGAAAAAGCGATTTGGGTAGAGGTATTGAGCTAAATCCATTTTTCCTTTTTTGTTTTTTAAAATTACATGTGAACAAGTCATATTGGTAAAAATGGGATTTCGACTTGGAAAGTCTTACACCAATATGCAAGAGTTTTGTTCCATCAAAACAAACAAGTATGAATAGGGCTCCAAACTAAAAATTACCTTTTGTATATATGCCGTAAGCTACCAGAAACCTTGGTAACTTGGGACAGATGGTTTTCAGCAGCTGTGCAGTAAATGCGAGTTCATTGTGAACTGGATTTAGATACTAAGGCAGGCTATACATGGGTCGAATTCTGAAGGAATTTTCTTTAGAAAATCAGAAATTTTGTTTATTTTGTAATCCGATGGTGCCACCATTGATTTCGAAATTCAATTAACCAAGCCTTCAATTTCTCCTCATGTGGCTACAGAAAAGAATTTTCATGGCTGGGAATCTTCTTTTCTTTCCAGGTCACATCTCATTCTCATTTCTTTTTCGACTATATTTCTCACACTATTCTCCCATCATTGATTAGAAATTCATTTATTTTTAAAAAAATTTCCAACAAGTCTGATCACTCAAATTCCATGGCCTCATGGAATTCGTCCGATGCTGTGGCACACTAATGGTGCAAAATTCAAATGAAAATGCTTAGTTACAATTTTTGAAAGAAAATTCATTTAGAATTCCACCCATGTATAGCCTGAATAAGTATGAATTAGTATTTTACTTTGTATATATAAAGAGACATCAAAGTTGAGTACTGGACTAAAAGGACCTGCTGTGTACACCATACTTACTGTTTATATTTCTTTGTGTCCCTTTTGTGCAGCTGTCTTTGCTGTAAGATTTTTTTCTTATTAATCTGGAGTACACCTTTTCATTATGTTTAATTCTTTGTGATCAAAACAAGTTCATTACTGTCAATTCTACAATTTTCTTGTATTTGAAAATAACACTTGGAATTCACAATGCAATAATATGTATTCTGCTATGACTTGTACATACTGTATATGGCTGTGCTTTAATAAATTGTATCCAGTATTTCTATGGGAAATGCCACATAAACAGGTGTTAAAAATTCTGACCAGCTGATATCAGTTACCTTGTACTATAGGTACATAATAGGCTCTCAATATAGCATTTACCCTGAATTAAAATGGCATCCGAAACTTCTTTTATGGTTTGGAATCATGACTTTCTTGCTTTCTATATCCCTATTGAAAAGATTTTCCTACACTTCCTGTACTTGTAAAGATGGTCAAAGAGACTGAATGTAACAGGAGATATCACCAATCTTCAAAAGCAAAAAAGTTTCTGGTATAGTTAAAACCTTTGTCAGGTTTTTATTGCTGATTTGCCCCAACTTCCAGTCATGACTGGGGCAAGAAAGCAAGGAAACCTTAAGTTTATGGTAGCACAAATGTCAATAACAAACCTGACAGACAATGTATTCTGTCCCCATTCTATCCAAAAAAAAAAAAAAAAAGTTATAGCTAGCATTTTACCTTCCGGTAAAGTCTGTTATTTTCAAGCATGCAATGTAGCATACTAATGTTAAAATATTTATATTTACCATGTGTTTCCCGTTATCTGATCCTGTATACAGAATGCTGGACAGTCCCAGTCGCCTAGATGAAGAACACAGGTTGATCGCCAGATATGCAGCAAGGCTGGCAGCTGAGACCTCTTCATCAGTAAGTTTGTTTTGTCTTCAGTTGGAAAAAGTAAATGATACCTTTCTAAAAGGACTTAAGGCCCCATAGACGGCTTGATTCCTGCTGATCCAGATGAAATTCAACCTGCAGTGTTTCCCTGAAAGCCCCTTCCAGCTCGACAGAAGTCACTTTAAAAATCGACTAAGCCAGGTGGAAGATTTTTGGCTGAACACTAACTGCATTCTTTCAAATGCAAACTGTTCAGCAGCACCATTGTATTCATGCAGCCATGGGTATTATAGCTACATTTTTCAGCGGTTGCAGGAGGAAATTGGAGAGGACCGCTTCTTGTATATCCTGCTGCAGCCGCTCCTCCTGTCCATGTGCAAAACAGAATGTGACAGGGAGGCCACACGGGCCTCCTGGAGCATGGGGCAGGGTCACCATTGTGATCCCTGGAGCTACACCAGTGTAAAACAGAATTTGACAGGGAGGCTGCACGGGCACTACACCAGTGGTTGGGGGTGTGTGGTAAAAATACATCTCAACTATGGGGTTTTACCATGCCCCTCCTAAACCCCAAATGTAAAATATCTCTTACTGTCCTGTGCCCCCTATAAGTCTACTTGCATGCCGATTTGCTGCAGCATGGGTGCAACACAGTGCACGTGCAGCTTAGCTTTACTTTGCAATAGACTTCTATTATATCTTGTTGGTGTGGTGCACTTTTTGAAAGTGCACCAAAACGCTTGTCTTTAGGAGTTTTGGTGTGCTTTCAGTAAGCGCACCAAACCCGCAGGCTGTAATAGAAGTGCACTTCCCTCGTTTGAAGTCGAGGTCCACATCAGAGGGCTCGGAGGGCCACAGGATGAACACCCCTGCTTTTAGTAGGACAGAGTTTACTATTATGCATTTAAGCTGGCCATACATGGATTGAAATTTGGCTAGATCACCAGGGACCAGGTGAATTTCAATCCACATATATGGGCAGGTTGGTTGTACAGAAGTGGATCTACTGTTGGAAAATATCTGCTCAGTCAGCACCACCAGCTATAGGTGTCAGCTCTGATCAGTTTATTCTGATGACGAGGAAATCGAGCGTGTGGATGGTGAATTGAGTCACTTTTTTTGTTCAACCCATGTTTTTATAAAGAAGATACATTTTTTTCAGTCCCAAAAATGCACACACGGTTATCACATGCCATTTACTAGGACAGCAGTGTGATGCACAAATAGGAGGATAGTAGTGTGCACATGGTATGACATGTAAGAGGATAACAGTGTGCACATGATTTAAATTTACCTTTTTCACCAGTGGGTCTATGTATTAAGGTGTTTCATTGTTTTCTGTAATTAACCTCTCCATGCTACAACATAGAGGATGGGGACCTATTAAGACAATTTCTGTGCCACAAATAAGGTTCACACTGTGTGGGGTGGTTACGAGCACAGGAATCACAGCTGTACCCGCACCTGCAACCATCCATAGCCAAAACGCAGTGCTCTGTAGAGACACACAGGGCTGCCATTCATTCTTAATGGCAACCCCACGCATCTCAACCTGCAGCACAATTGCTAGTGTGGGAACCACAGGGAAACAGCATGGTGCAAAAGCACCATCTGTTCCCTGTGGCCACATTTTTTAAAATGGTGCATGCACCTTTTTTTGCAGGAAACGCAGGCACAGCAGCCCATTCAAATGAATAGCAAACCCGCACAAGTGTGAACCTAGAGTAAGAGTCTAATCAGCGTGTACAAACTTCACCACAATTGTTTGTAGAAAAATTAAACTCTTCAACACCTACGGAGTGCAGGTGTCTGAGCTATATACAGTATGTGATAGCAGTAGCAGTATTGTGGAACACAGGAGAGTTTACACAGAGATTGGCAGGGTGCGAAGTACGTTAAAGTGCTAAAACTTTCTGTATATCCCCTGTATCTGTGTAATTGCCTGAGGAATTGGCTTCTGTGAGGTAGCTGGAAAGTTAGTTGTTGGTGGGTTTGCAGCCATTCTAAGGTACAATGGAAGATTCTAAAGTGATCTGGCATAGTTTGGTAGGGTGAGACATCCTTGTAATAAAATATTCAGTAAACTCAGGTGTTGGGGAGAAAATGATTTATCTGGTTTAAATAAACTTTAAGAAATGTTTACTTGAATGTTTAGGGATCAGGTGATTGCTTATCAGTTCCTTAAACATGAAAAAGGCTAACGAAAGGAATTACATTTTTATTGGTGATGCATCTGTTGATAGTGAAATATAATACCTTAAAGCTGTAGTTTAATGATTGTTTTAAAAAACAGCACCAGGAACAGTACTTACAATGAATAACAACAAAGTGTAGCACAACAAACTAATGTCTGATAAAATCCATGCCACCACCATTAAGTGAAAAACCTGCTCATCTCACTTCATGACCTCAACAATAGGTCATTATGCGCTCAGCATGTGGACACACTTGTGTACACCCTCTGTGGTCTTCCTCCTGCTCCTCTCCTGGCACCGCCACAATATACACTCCTCCAGCTGACGCTCTCATATAATACAGTGGGGAAAATAATTATTTGATCCTCTGAAGATTTTGTATGTTTGCCCACTTAAAAAAAAGGGTCTATAATTTTTATAATAGGTGTATTTTAAATAATAGAAGCAGAATATCAACCAAAAATCCAGAAAAAAACACATGATACAAATGTTATACATTGAGTTGCAGTTCAGTACGTAAAATAAATATTTGATATCCTACTAATCAGCAATAATTCTGGCTCCCACAGACTGGCTATGTGCTCATGTGGTACACTGATTAGTCTTGTCAATTTAAGAAGGTGACCTAACGACAACTCGTTATGTGTATGAAAGACACCTGTCCTGAGAATCTTTCTTCCATTCAAACCTCACCACCATGGGTAGGAGCTGTCAAAGAATGTCAGGGGCAAGATTGTAAACTTGCACAAGGCTGGAATGGGCTACAAGACCATCAGCAAGAAGCTTGGTGAGAAGGAGACAACTCTTGGAGTGATTATTCTCAAATAGAAGAAATACAAAATAACCATCAATTGCCCTCGGTCTGGAGCTCTATGCAAGATTTCTTCTCATGGGGTAAGGATGATCATGAGAAAAGTGAGGGATAGGCCCAGAACTACACAAACAAATGATTGTTAACACAATACGCCTCTATAGATTGAAATCCTGCAGCGCCCGCAAGGTCCCCCTCCTCAAGAAGGCACATGTACAGGCCCGGCTGAAGTTTGCCAATGAACATCAAAATGATTCAGAGATGGATTGTGAGAAAGTGCTACGATGAAATGAGACCAAAATTGAGCTCTCTGGCACTAACTCGACTAGCCGTGTTTGGAGGAAGAAAAAAGGCTGACTATGACCCTAAGAACACCATTCCCTACATGGAAACATTATGCTTTATGCCGACCATTCCCCATGACTAACCCTGGGAGCCCCGTAACAGAGCACTTTTATTGGCTATGCTTTAGGGCTGTTTCTCTGCTAATGGTATAAGCCGGCTTTTCCACATTGAGGAGCCAATGGACTGGGCCATGCATTGTAAAATCTTGGATGAGAACCTTCTTCTTTCAGACAGAACACTGAAGATGGGTCGTGGATGGGTCTTCCAGCATGACAATGACCCAAAACATACCACCAAGGCAACAAAGGAGTGGCTCAAGAAGAAGCACATTAAGGACATGGAGTGGCCTAGCCAGTCTCCAGACCTTAATCCTATAGAAAATTTATAGAGGGAGCTGAAACTTCCAGTTGCCAACCGATAGCCAAGAAACTTTAGGTATTTATGAAGATCTGTAAAGAAGGGTGGACCATAATCCCTCCTGAGATGTGTGGAAACCTGTTAACCAACTACAAGAAACGTCTTACCTCTGGGTTTGCCAACAAGGGTTTCTCCACCAAGTCTGGATTTTTGCTTAATATTCTGTCGCTATCATTTAAAATACATCTATAATAAAAAATTATAGACCCTTCATTATTTTATAACTGGGAAAACTTACAAAATCTGCAGGGGATTAAATAATTATTTTACCTACTACAGTGGGGATCAAAAGTTTGGGCACCCCAGCTAAAAATTTGTATTAATGTGCATAAAGAAGCCAAGGAAAGATGGAAAAATCTCCAAAAGGCATCAAATTACAGATTAGACATTCTTATAATATGTCAACAAATGTTAGATTTTATTTCCATCATTTACACTTTCAAAATAACAGAAAACAAAAAAAATGGCGTCTGCAAAAGTTTGGGCACCCTGCAGAATTTATAGCATGCACTGCCCCCTTTGCCAAGCTGAGACCTGCCAGTGTCATGGATTGTTCTCAATCATCGTCTGGGAAGACCAGGTGATGTCAATCTCAAAGGTTTTAAATGCCCAGACTCATCTGACCTTGCCCCAACAATCAGTACCATGGGTTCTTCTAAGCAGTTGTCTAGAAAACTGAAACTGAAAATAGTTGACGCTCACAAAGCTGGAGAAGGCTAAAAGAAGATAGCAAAGTGTTTTCAGATGTCAATATCCTCTGTTCGGAATGTAATTAAGAAATGGCAGTCATCAGGAACAGTGGAAGTTAAAGCAAGATTTGGAAGACCAAGAAAAATATCAGACAGAACAGCTCGCAGGATTGTGAGAAAAACAATTCAAAACCCACGTTTGACTGCACGATCCCTCCAGAAAGATCTGGCAGACACTGGAGTTGTGGTACACTATTCCACTATAAAGAGATACTTGTACAAATATGGTCTTCATGGAAGAGTCATCAGAAGAAAACCTCTTCTACGTCCTCACCACAAAAATCATCGTTTGAACTTTGCTAATGAACATATAGACAAGCCTGATGCATTTTGGAAACAAGTTCTGTGGACTGATGAGGTTAAAATTGAACTTTTTGGCCGGAATGAGCAAAGGTACGTTTTGGAGAAGAAGGGGCACAGAATTTAATGAAAAGAACCTCTGTCCAACTGTTAAGCATGGGGTTGGATCAATCATGCTTTGGGGTTGTGTTGCAGCCAGTGGCACAGGGAACA